GCTGATGGAGGCCTGGGGCTGCAGGGCCAGCCTGCCAGTCACCGGGGCGCTCGCCCCAGGAAACCGGTGGAGAGGGTTGCTCTTTTCCCAGCCTTCTGCACACCTTGCCTTTGCTTACAAGCGCCCAGGAAGGTATCCGGCAGTGTCAGATTGAGAGATGAGCGTAGGGAAACTTGAGCCACAAAGACTTGAGAAATAGATTTACTTTTCCCCAGCACGTCGTGCACAGATCTGTGTGTGAGACAGCTGACATTTGAAAACGATAGCGGGTAGACATCCGATGCCTAAAAGGCGCATTTTTGGTGTCCTAAAGTCTGGTAGTGATGAAGGGTTAGGACACCATGGCCTCAAGCTGTTCTGAGGACGTGTGTGTGTGTGTGTGTGTGTGTGTGTGTGTGTGTGTGTGTCTGTTGGATCGTCTGCTTGTAATAAAGAACAACTCTGGAAGCCTAGTGCTATTCGTAACAGTTGAGCATGTACAGCATGGACCAGCCGGTATTTTCTTTTAACAATTCCAGCTCTGGCGGTTGGTTAAAGGATAACAAAATACTAACGAAGTTCGTAGGCATAGGCCTGCTGAAATTTCTGGCTTCAAGATGCCAAGGAGCAGTTAGTTGTATTTGTACACCCGGAGGTGAGGCAAACACTGACTGTTTAGAATGCGATTGAGAAGAGTATGTCCCCAAGCAGACTTATCAAATGTCTATAATTTGGTAGCTGGAGTTTTGTAAAAGGGACTAGGACTAGTGCCACTGACCAAAAAGAGACCCAGAATGGTTTTCCTTTGTATTTTCCTAATGGAGTACAGCTCTGGTTAATAGATATTAATTTCTTAGTTTATCGTTCTATTTTTCTAACACCCCCCCCCCCTCTCTCTCCCCCCAAGACAAAACATTCCAAGTTTTGTTTAGCTTTAAATTGGTGGGGTTTTGGCCATTTACTTTGGGGTGGGATTTTGCAGTCCTTGCTTGAAAGATATTTCAAGTGGCAATTGGATGTGGTTTTGCAAGTGTTTTTTACTGAAAAAGTTTTCTTGTTAAGGAAATGTCTTAATCGTTGTCACTTACATCAAGTACCACTAAAAATAATTTCATTGACTTTTCAACAGTATGGCTGTATAATCAAACCTACTGAAGGAATTCTTAAAAGTTGGGGGTCCTCCAACCTTTTTGTGCTAGAGTATAATAAATGGAGGAATTATGAATAAGGGAGTGATTTCTGGGTATTTATTGTTGTTGTTAGAACCACAGAAAATACATGCCTATGCTCACTTCAATTTCAATTACCACCTTGTAAACGATTTCAGAACCTATACCTGTGTC